TCTATGTGTTTTTTTATGTAATGTTGTATTAACAGATTAATTTTCCTTTTACTGCTGCTGCCTGTGTCAAAAGGCTGTTAATGATACCCCACAGTGGAGATGCACACTGCAGTGGGAGAGTCTTGGATTCGGCCGCGCTTCATGTGTCTGTGCCTGATAATAACACCTGTAAGCACTGAGGTCAGGGATGAGCAGTCTCACTTCTGAATTATTCAGACCATTTAAATCTCAAACAAACTCCATCCTGTTATGTAACCAGGCCGAGGTTTCCGCCTCAGACCCAAAAGGCTTAACATCGTTTAGCTGTGTTAATTTATTCACTGTTTGCGAGTCTGTGAAATTAAACTGAAACAGTGTTTTGGGTTCCTCTCACATTACATTGCTTCAGCCTAAATGCTTGAGGGGAAGTAATTGAATTTTAAACACTGGTTATTGTCATGCTGGTGGGAATTAATTATTCTGCGGCACAGAAAATAGCTACATTTCTCAGAGCCTTTGGGTGTGGAATAATTAATTTTTTGATCATCTCATACGTTCTCATTTTATTTGTTATTTTGCTTTTAAAGATGACCATAAGTGTATGAGTTCTTTTTGCAAAATTCACCTCCAAATAAATTGCCAAAAAAATTCCCATCAGTGTCAGTTGACTTGTTTTGGCAACAGCTTCGGATGATTCCAGCCCATTAAATGACTGTTGTTAGTTGTTATCATCCCCATAGGTTAAGTTCAGACTGTCCCTCCTAGCTCCTAGTAGGTTTAGGTACATTGTTATCGCTGATAATATGCAGCTTCGCCCGTGTCTAAAACCGGAAGCTTTTTTTGTTAGCTTTATTTAACCCTTTTCCTAAACCTAACCTTACTCATGACCCAGACCCTTGACCCTTAACCTAACCCCATGACCCTAATATTATCAGGGAGAAGAACATGCCTTTAAACCTTCTAGGAGGTGCAGGAGGAGCAGTCTGAACGCAACCTATGGGGATGATAACAACTAATGATGAACATTTAATGGCTGATAACATTCGAAGTGGATGTTTTTGGCTGTATACACATTTCTGAAGTCTTCAAAGCTTTTTCTTCAGCGTGTGCTGACGTGCTCACCTCTCTCACCGATGCATCACATTTAAATGTGTTATTTGACTGGATTTCAGGCCTGTGTGTTTCTCAGCAGTATGCTGGCCCTGTTGCATGTAAAACTCGCTGCCAGTTTAATTAAAGGTTGTCTGATGGTGAACAGAGATCGTCCACCTGCACTCCACTAACGGTGGTTCTGGTTGAGTGTTCCCTGATTTAGTGTTTCCTCTCATCTTCCCTTTGTGTCCTAAAGGCTTCGTCTGTATCTCTCCGGTGACTGATAACTACGTGTTTCAGTCGCTTCCCAAACTTCTTACTCAATGCTCAGGGGTGGTTTTTTTCTTATAAATTTTCCACATCTTCTCATTAATAACTTTGCAGCCTTTTCTCTCATGATGCAGCCAAGGTTGTGTTTTTCCCCTGACATTGCAGAGGCATCTCTTCATACTTGAATTATTTTGATAGAATAATAAACATATTTTCAATTAAACAATTTTATTTATTTATTTTTGCAATAGTAGCATTTTCCTGCTCTCTGGCTGAGACGTTTTATTTTCTCCATCCTGGTGCAGGAGAACGTTTTAATTATTTTAGGTATATAAATCAAATATTTTAGCGCTAGTTGGCAAATAGCCAAATACTAGCAAAAAGCTGAAATAAACTGTATAACTTTAGCTTCATTCGCAGATCACTGTGTCCTGGACAAGCATGGATCACAGCATTGAGAGCTTGCAACCTAACAGCAGTGTCCCCATGACAGCAAGTTTTAGAAATGCATTGCTCGTTAAATACAGAGGGTTTTTTTGCCTGATTCGCTTCAGGCATGGAGAAAATTGTGTTGTTAGCTCATGAAAAACATTTACTGTAGGTGACACATCAGTGCAGGAGTGCATGTGGCATGCCACTGTTGTTTATTGTGTGCAAATTTCCCTGAAAATCAATCTCTGTTAGTGGAAAGCTTATATAAACCCAATTGAATTTTATTTTTAATTATTATTGTTTGAGGCATTCATTTTTACAAGCACATGGGACATTCAATTCATTCAACAAAAAGTGCATCATCTTCATCTCTGTCTCATCTAAGGGTTTTGAAAACAAATAAAATCACAATTAAATGAAATGGTGAATCAGAATTGACAAATTGGACATAAAGGACTAAAATGTGCTTTGGATGCTAAACACACATTTAGGCCTTTTCATTCAGTTAAATCATGCATAATTCACACAATACATTTTCACTGTAAGAAAGTATTAGAAATGATACCATCATGTTGAGGATATGATGATCTTTAGTCTCACAGTTCATGTATCTAACTGAAGCTAATATAAAACTATTTCATTACAAGTTTTTGATTTTGCTTTTGCCTCAGACTGAATTCCTGCCATGTTTTGTTTACTTTTTAAATTTAATTTATTTTTAGTTTCTGTCTTTTAAGGCCCTCACTATATATATATATATATATATATATATATATATATATATATATATATTCTGTTCTGACCTCAACGTGTTACCAACTCTAATCTTAGTAGTGGTTTGACAAGCGAAGTTACTTAATATTTTTCTGAAGCGTTAAATCGAATCTGTTCTCTCTAGTTATCAATGAACCATTTTAAAATTACTCCCTTAATTTTAAATGAATTATAAATCACTTCTGTGATAGATGTCATCTGATAAAAACAAATTGTTATTTAAAAGCCTTTTGTCTGCACATGAGGAGAAAAAGAGAGCATCTCACCTGTTAAAAATAAACATTTTCAATAGTTTAGCAACTTTACTATTCCTTTCCTTTTGGTTGCGTTTATTATTTCACAGTGGCTTTATGAGTCAGCAGTAGTAAGGATTCATCCATTATCTTTACCCGCTTATTCCATTTTGGGTCACGGGGGTCGCTGGTGCCCATGTCCAGCAATCACTGTGCGAGGGGCGGGGTACACCCTGGATGGGTCGCAAGTCCATCACAGGGACACATAGAGACAAACAACCATTCACTATCTCACTCACACCTAGGGACAATTTAGAGTTACCAATCAGCCTAATATGCATGTTTTTGGTCTGTGGGAGGAAACTGGAGCACCCGGAGAAAACCCACACGTGCACGGAGAGAACATGCAAACTCCATCCAGAAAGGCCCCTGGACCGGGGTTTGAACCAAGGACCTGCTCGCTGAGAGGCAGCAGCTCTACCAGTTGCGCCACCGTGCTGCCCAGTAGTAAGGATAAAATGAAAAATAAAATGAAACTCACACAACAGACTATTTTACATACGAAATTTTAAAAAAAATGTTCTGAATCCCATTTTCTACAGCCAGCACTGTTTAACCTAATTATAACCTTTGACCCCTCGCAGCTCAGGTCCAATCAGGCAGAAACTTGTGGTTTGATTTTTTTGGTCACTTTCCATCACATTGACAGGGTGTGTCCTGATGGAAAACAATGCACTCCATCGGTAGTCAGATATAACAATGAGAAGCTCAAACCTCAAGATGTGGGAGACGAAGCAGCAAAACAAATCACACAATCTCCTGACATCTTTATTTTTCAGCACACAGACAGCTGAAATGTTCAAGACAGAGCTGCAGTTAGCTGTGAATTGATCTCACTAGCTGCTTCATCCTCCACAACCCACTCATTATTGACGGCTGCTAAGTAAGGGAGTCTTTTGAGCAACAGAGCACGAGCCTGCCTGCAGTTTAATCTCCATATTAAGGAGCAAAGAAAAGGTCAGGCCAACAACACCTAAACAGTAACTGACAGGTCATGAGGATGATGGAGGGTGAGAACAGAGGGAAGGTCAGTAATCCAGACAAATATCAGACAGCTGTGAGGTTGAAACTGTTGAAATGTGCAGATTGGGAGGGAAGAGTGTGACTAATACTGAGGGTAAGTCGTGCAGAAAGTTACTGAGGGTGCACGTTTAATGCAGCACTAATGGAGAAGATGGTTGATCAATGTAGAAATAACAAAAGGTAAAATTCATTGTGTGTTTATTTTATAGAAGACGTGTTTATCTGGGAGAAACCCAACATTTTTTAATGTAGTTGAGACTTTTACTTTCAATGTAACTATTTCAGACCTAAAACCACAACAAATGTAATGAAAGTAGCACCCTTCAAAGCATATGTGTCAAACTCAAGGCCCGGGGGCCAAATGTGGCTCTCGATGACATCTTATCTGCCCCAACAAGATGTTATTTTAAATGTAAATTACTTTTATCACTTTCATTTTTTTTAGTAATCTTTGATTATGATGTCAAAAGTGCAACAGAGAATGTCAAATGAGACCAATCAAACTCTTGTTGAGGAGCCTGCAACCTAGAAAAGATGTTGGGTATCTAACTTGAGTTAATGTAGATTCTGAAACCGGCCCTTACTTTGAAAAAGGTTTTAATTTTGGCCCCTTTTGTAAGTGAGTTTGACACCCTGCTTTAAAGGAATACATGTAACTGTCTAACTAGCATGCCAAAGATTTAATTGAAGATCTTGGTTGATCTGTTACAGGTCAGAGTATGTGTGGTGAATGACTCTCAGCGACTACCACATCAAAGTTTAACTCAATATCTGTAAAATAAAAAAAGTTAGAGTTATTTTGGTGTTTGCATGGGTTAATGGAATGTGGTGGCCATCTTGAATCAGTTTGTCTCCAACAGATAAACAGTTGTAGATGCACATCAAATGATTACTTCATGAAAGTTTCGTTTAAATCTTTGCAGTCATTTATGAGGTGTTTTGCTAACAGACAAACACTGATAAAGAAAAGTTTTAGGCACAGATCTTGCCTGAGCCATTGGAGCTCAGAGTATGTCTTGAGGGTAATGCTATGAAACTACCCATTCACAGAGTTTTTGTGTTTGCTAAAGCTGATCAGCTACTGATTTAGATAAAAATCCATTTAGTGAGTTTACATTTATCTTTTCTCTTGCACAGATCCATCGGTGCATCACAGGCAGAAGACGGTTGTGACAGACATGTGCTACCCAACAGAGATATCCAGCCTGATGGACTTTAGCACTCCAGACTGCTCACTGGGCAAAGGTACAGTGTTGCTGGAAATCTCAAGGCGTTGCCTTGGTGACAGCAGGAAGTGAGCGTGGTGATTTATCCTGGCAGTTAAAAGGACACTGGGCTGTCAGCTTGACTTGTGAGGTGAATGCCGGAGCAAAGGCCGGCGCGGGCGAGAACAATCAGATAACAGCTCTTGGTGTTTGGCCACGAGGGCCCTTAGCTTTCACTACGGGCCCTCGTTTATCTCAGCTGAAAGCCTAATACGTCCTGTCACCCCATTCTCTGTGTCGTATTGATTATGAGACTTGCACAGAAAAGAAATCTTCTTTGCAAATTGCTTTGGAGTTGACTGAAATGCATCCTCTCGAGTTGCATTGTAATGTGCAATTATGGCTTTGCAACAAGATCACTTATCTTCTGCAATCACCACCATCAGTCTGAGGAACAGGCTGGAGTAGCTCAGGATGATGGTGTCGTTTCAATTTCTTCTGTGCAATAAGCAACCAACATCATATCGCACGAAATCATGATGTCTATTGATTACATTTGTTTTGCTGCTTAATCTTGAAGCTGCGAGTCCATTCTTCCTCTCGCCGTGCTGCTGCTCTTCTGTGCTGCTCTGGGTCAGTACATCATTTTGTTTAGCCTCTTAAAGCTGACGGGGTTTTCTAAAAAGATGATCAGTCAAGCCTTTTTGTTATTCCCTTCAACAATGTGACCTCCCCTGCTGCCCGTCATTGCTTGTGTTCCCTCCTCATCCTCACACTCCTTCACCTCCTCCTCTCTCTGCAGGCCGAGTAATATTTTAACAGTGCTCTTTATTGACGCACTGCAGCGGCGGTGTTAATGCAGACTGACAGGTCAACTGTGCAGCAGGTGGAGAGGAGAAAACAAAGATTTTTAGGCTTTGATATGAGCAGAATATAACGAATAGTGATTCAGAAAGCTGAGCTGAAAAACACAGGAGGAGTCGAGTAGTAACTGAGGAGGTGTGAGGACAAAAGAAGTACCATAAATATGATTCAGAATACTTTAAATGTCAACTTCAGCGTGACTTTAAAATTATGAAGTGCTACGTTTAATCTAAAATGTTTTAAAAGCTGCAGACACGTTAAAAGCAGCAAACAATAATATATTCCAATGAAACAGGATATTTTACTGTAATAGCTTTTAAGACTGTATTAATCCTTTTTTATTTTAACATTTTAATCATTATTTTATGTTTTATTTACATGAACTAATTCAAGCTTGATGCATTTTTTCTTAAATTTCAAAATTACTCTAAAGAGAAAAGTTACTAATCATGTACAGTGTGTGTGTGTGTGTGGGGTGGGGGGGGGGGGGGAATAAAGCTTTAAAATGTAACATAATTATACATATGTATATATAAACAATAATATTATTATCTGTTCCAAAAAAGTTCAATCTGGTCCTCTGGACATTCAAAAACAAACAAAAAACAAAGCAAAAATATACAGGTCCTTCTCAAAAAATTAGCATATTGTGATAAAGGTAATTATTTTCCATAATGTAATGATAAAAATGAAACTTTCATATATTTCAGATTCATTGCACACCAACTGAAATATTTCAGGTCTTTAATTGTTTTAATACTGATGATTATGGCATACAGCTCATGAAAACCCAAAATGCCTGTCCCAAAAAATTTGCATATTTCATCCCACCAATGAAAGACAAGTGTTTTTAATACAAAAAACACCAACCTTAAAATAATCATGTTCAGCTATGCCTCAATACTTGGTCGGGAATCCTTTTGCATGAATGACTGCTTCAATGCGGCGTGGCATGGAGGCAATCAGCCTGTGGCACTGCTGAGGTGTTATGGAGGCCCAGGATGCTTTGATAGCGGCCTTAAGCTCATCCAGAGTGTTGGGTCTTGCGCCTCTCAACTTTCTCTTCACAATATCCCACAGGTTCTCTATGGGGTTCAGGTCAGGAGAGTTGGCAGGCCAATTGAGCACAGTAATGCCATGGTCAGTAAACCATTAACCAGTGGTTTTGGCACTGTGAGCAGGTGCCAGGTCATGCTGGAAAATGAAATCTTCATCTCCATAAAGCTTTTCAGCAGATGGAAGCATGAAGTGCTCCAAAATCTCCTGACAGCTAGCTGCATTGACCCTGTGCTTGATAAAACACAGTGGACCAACACCAGCAGATGACATGATACCCCAGTGACAGTGGAAACTTGACAATGGACCTCAAGCAATGTGAATTCTGTGTCTCCTCTCTTCCTCCAGACTCTGGGACCTTGATTTCCAAAGGAAATGCAAAATTTACTGAAATCAAAGAACATAACTTTGGACCACTCAGCAGCAGCCCCAGGCGAGATGCTTCTGACGCAGTCTCTTGTTCAAAAGTGGCTTGACCTGGGGAATGCGGCACCTGTAGCCCATTTCCTGCACATGCCTGTGCACGGTGGCTCTGGATGTTTCTACTCCAGACTCAGTCCACTGCTTCCGCAGGTCCCCCAAGGTCTGGAATCGGCCCTTCTCCACAATCCTCCTCAGGGTCCGGTCACCTCTTCTCGTTGTGCAGCGTTTTCTGCCACACTTTTCCCTTCCCACAGACTTCCCACTGAGGTGCCTTGATACAGCACTCTGGGAACAGCCTATTCGTTCAGCAATTTCTTTCTGTGTCTTACCCTCTTGCTTGAGGGTGTCAATGATGGCCTTCTGGACAGCAGTCAGGTCGGCAGTCTTACCCATGATTGCGGTTTTGAGTAATGAAAAAGGCTGGGAGTTTTTAAAAGCCTTAGGAATCTTTTGCAGGTGTTTAGAGTTACGTCGTTGATTCAGATGGTTAGGTTAATAGCTTGTTTAGAGAACCTTTTCATGATATGCTAATTTTTTGGGACAGGCATTTTGGGTTTTCATGAGCTGTATGCCATAATCATCAGTATTAAAACAATTAAAGACCTGAAATATTTCAGTTGGTGTGCAATGAATCTGAAATATATGAAAGTTTCATTTTTATCATTACATTATGGAAAATAATGACCTTTATCACAATATGCTAATTTTTTTAGAAGGACCTGTATAGAAACGTTTCGTCTCTCATCCGAGAGACTTCCTCAGTCTGAGGAGCTGTATTCAGCTCAGTCTCTTAAATAGCACCGTCTCAGAGTGGATCAACCAGTTTTGCTGCTGACAACCAAAACCAGCTGCTCACATGCTCAAGAAGGACCATCAGCCTAACAATGGATCATTAGCACACTGATGGCTGTTTACTATTCACAGAGGGCTGAGTGATACTAGCAATCACAGCATTGTAAGAGGGGGACAGTTGAACCCGGAGGCCTCCACCCCTGTTTAATGATGGACGATTTCTTTTCACAAAGATGGCCTCCTTTACTCCTCTCTCAAACCATCGTTCCTCTCTGTCCAGGATGTGAACATCTTCATCCTTGAAAGAGTGACCGCTGGCCTGGAGATGAGTGTAGGCCGCAGAATCCTGGCCTGATGATGTTGATCTTCTGTGCTGGGCCATCCTTTTGGCCAGTGGCTGTTTAGTTTCCCCGATGTAAGACTGATCACAGCCCTCCTGACACTGAACAGCATACACAATATTACTCTGTTTGTGCCGGGGGACTGGATCTTTGGGATGAACCAGTCTTTGCCGTAATGTATTTTGGGGTTTAAAAGCCACTGGGACATTATGTTTAGAAAATAAACGTCTCCTGGCTCCTGAGTTAGTAGGGATGCTGTCTGCTCTGTGATACAGAGTCCTGATGACTCCTAACTTGTGCTCCAAAGGGTGATGGGAGTCAAACTGCAAATACTGGTCTGTGTGGGTGGGTTTGTGGTACACCTCAGTTTGCAAATGTCCTCTATCGGAGACTGAGACCTCACAGTCCAAGAAAGCCAACCTGCCATTTTTTACATCTTCACGTGTGAACTTGATTTATTTATCCACAGAGTTGATGTGGTCAGTAAAATGTTGGACTTCCTGAGATTTAATTTTAACCCAGGTGTCGTCAACATACCTGAACCAATGACTTGGTGGTGTCCCTGAAAAGGACGTCAAGGCGTCAAGGACGTCCTTTTCAGGACAAAACACAAATGTGTCACTTCGCTGTATAAGTCACAGGCATGCTAATTTATGCAAAAAGGTGCGATTTATATAGCGAAAAGTACGATAATTGCATTTTTACCTAAAGAAACATAAAACTAATTCATGAAAGTGCATGTGTAAAGGTAATATTTTTATTTACAAGGAGACGTCAAGCTAAACTTAAATATGATGTTAGAAAAAAGACGTTTAGAATGTTTTATTTAATGAAATTATTTTAATTGTGTAAATATCAAAGAAGGGAGGATGAAAAAAACTAGTTTTCCTTATTGTGTTAACTGCACAACATTTTTACAGCTTGCTTTCATTCCACAAACAGATCAAATATCCCACATTTTCACTGGCTCTGTGTTTTCACCAGTTGGACCGATGCTTTCAAAAATCTAAATTAAATCAGATGGCTGCAGGAAAAACTGGCAGGAAACACTCTAATCAAAGGAATTGTGCTTCATATAAATCAAATATCAAACAACAATGTCAAGGGTTGGCCCACTTGGGATGTTTTTGATAAATATTGTATCGATACTCAAAAAAAGAATAAACTGAAATGAAAACAAATCTGCAGATCTCAGTAAAATATTGTAAAAGCTACCACAAAAAAAGACAACTAGAGCACACCTGCTACAATCAGAAAAGCTCTCAGCAGTTAAAATAACCAACATTTACCACAATGTTACTAACCAGCACTATATATATATATATATGTGTGTGTGTGTGTGTGTGTGTGTGTGTGTGTGTGTGTGTGTGTGTGTGTGTGTGTGTGTGTGTGAAAAAAATTAATAACACACCAACAACATGAGAGTGTCTTCCTTTAAAGTCATCTTTTTAAATCCATGTCACTTAACAATGTGTTGTCATTTGGCACACCTTTGTCATAATGTTGTCCACCATAACCTTTATGTGGGTTGCGCAGTGGAGCAGATGGTTGGTACCATTGCCTTGCAACAATGAGGTTGCGGGTCTTTCGGTGTGGGGTTTGTAGTTTCTCCATGAGTGTGCAGATTCTCTCTGGGAACTCCAGTTTCCACCTACAGACCAAAACATGCATGTTAGCTGATTTTATTTGGGGTATGTGGGGAAATGGGAATCAGCTCTCCACAGCTCCGCACAGGAACAAGTGGGTTAAAAAATGGATGACTTGGCAACATATGAGGTTTTTTTATGTTTACAGTGCAGGACAATAACACACTTTCTTTTTGTTCTTTATTGATTCCAAAAAGACTTTCACAATTGTGAATCACTTTTTATTTTGGATTTTTGAGCATTTCCTCTCCCAGGTCCTTGTCCGTATCGTGCCTGCTAGGAGAGCTGTGAGATAGTTTTCTGAGACTGATTTCTACATTTTGAGAAAACTGAGCGCAGAGGAGACCAGGAAGCACAAAATAGACCAAAGAAAAGTCTGAGTTTTGTAGAAAGTTGAACCTTTCTAGACATGCAACAAAAAAACTAATTACAACTTGGAAAGAGTGGTACCCATATTCTATAGCAAAGCCCTACAGAACCTCACTGACCTGCACAAGGCGAGGTCAGTGAACAAAACCAGACTGATTCTGGCAGATCCTGCTCACCCACTCCATGGTGAGTTCAGGTTGCTTCCATCTGGATGCAGGTATCTGCTGCCCGGATGTAGAACAAACAGACTGAAAAACTCATTCATCCCTGTAGCGATCAGGCTTCTTAAAGGACATTGATGATTTCTGTAGTTATTTTAATGTCTTCGTGTCTCATTGTCTTGTCTAGTATGGATGTATTATGTGCCTACTGACGGTGAAACAAATTGCCCTTTGGGGATAATAAAGATACTTGAACTTGAACTATATAAGAAAGGGCTTTTATTAAATAAAAAAATAAAAATGATAATGAGCTGTAATATCTACTGATGGTTAGGTAATTTGGTAGTTTGGTAGCAGGTAGTTTGGTTAGGGGGAGTGGTGGTGTAGAGGTTAAATAAGGTGGGCCTGTGATTGGAAGATCGCCGGTTCAAGCCCCGGTATGGACAACATGAAAAATGTGGGTGGGGTAGGTGAAGCACCCACACCTGCCCCCACCCTCATTCGTCCCACTCTGGGCCCCTGAGCAAGGCCCTTAACCCCCACCATCTGCTCCTCCGGGTGTCCTAGATAGCAGCTCTCTGCTCCACACCGAGGGCTGTGGTAGCTCGGTGGTCTGTGGTTGCGTCAGGAAGGGCATCCGGCGTAAAAACAACTGCCAAGTCTTCGATCGACAGTTCGCTGTGGCGACCCCTGAAGAAGGGAAAAGCCGAAATAAGAAAAAAATTTTAAAAAATTAAAAATATCTACTGATGGTTAACACTGTTAATTGACACAGAGAAGGTGATCTATATATAATAAATAAGTATTATTAAAATACAGTTTTAATAATAATAATAATGAATTTAATTTTTTTACACACTTTTCATTAACAAAAATCTCAAAGTGCTACAAAGTGCAACTAAAATCAATGATAAAATCATGTGGAGGCAGAATAGGCTTGCTTAAAAAGAAAAGTCTTTAAGCTTTTTTTTTAAGTCAACCAATGATTGTGGAGCTCTCAGATAGTCAGGGAGGGAGTTCCAGAGGCGGGGGGCAGCCACACAGAATGCCCGAACTCCCATGGTCCTTAATTGAGTTCATGGAAGGAGAAGGAGATGACTGTTCTGTGATCGTAGGGACGGGGTGGATGAATATGGAGCAAGAAGGTGCTTCAGATGATCTGGTGAATTTCTGTTTAAACATTGATGGGTAATGAGAGCAATGTTGTACTGAATTCTGTAGGTGACAGGAAGCCAATGGAGGTTATGGAGTATGGGTGTAATATGTTCAAATTTACGAGCTCTCAATAAAATCCTGGCTGCACTGTTTTGAATATATTGAAGCTTCTGAAGGTTTTTGCCGGGTATTCCAGTAAACAGGGAGTTGCAGTAGTTGAGCCTGGAGGAGACAAAGTTTTGTGTTCACAGTAGTTTTATGCTATTCATCAAAATAATGGTCTCATTAAAAAATTCAAGTTAGGAAAAGTTGAGAAATTTCAGTAATGAGCAGTGTGTGAAAGCATACATTTCAAAACATCTGGATTAGATTATAATTCCTGGTATAATAACGACTTGGTGTCACAGACTTCTGTCTCATCTCAGATCAGTCAGAAGAGTCTGGTGGCACTCCTCGAGCTGTCTGTGTGATTGACAGATCCACTGACTCGTGTGACAAGTATTTGGTTAGATCACATTCGATCTTGGAGCAAAACTAAAGAGCTAAACCTCTGACAGGCAGGATAAATGATATGGCTGCTCTGAACTGCTGCGTTTAGATACAGAAGATTTCCCTCAAATCAGAAACGTTATTAACGTTTAAAAAGTGATGTCTCCACTGCAGTATTCCAGTTGTGCTGCTCAGTGCTTATAAAACCACAAACTCTATTACAAGTTTTTATCTAGGTGGGCCCTGCAGGCTGAATTAATTTCCTTCCAACTACCTGCCTGTACCTGCCTTAGGCATGAAGAAGTAAAATGGCACAGCAGCAGCCATATTTGCTCTGTCCACTCACATCCGAGCTCTCATCTAACACGACCCAGACGGCCCTGAGTCAGCGACGAGCGGCAGAGCCATCGAGTGCCTGCAGGGTTTAAGATAACGTGGGAAGTCCAGATTATTAAACGCATCTCAGCGTGGACAGGTAAGGCAATTTGATTTAAAAGCATGAACTTTCATATCCCTCATGATTCATTTATCAACTCTGCAGTTTGCACAGGCAGCATTTACTGTCATGGTTTGAGTTTTATCTTCTCAGACCTAAAAGACACACTTAAGCATTTTAGATTCGGAGGGGGATTTTAGAAGAGTCTGATTTTATGTCTGTGGAGAGAGTTATTGTGCACGCCATCCTTTGTTTGCTCTTTTAGCCGTCAGGTGGAGCGAGAGCTCCACACCTGGTTTGTTACCTGAGGCTTCAGGTGCACTTTGTATTCCCCTCCCCCTTATCCTTTCCATTCAGGGATGTGTGGGTGTATGAAAAAAGCAGGAATGGGCGTGGGTTAAAGTTGTCCTGGCTACCTAAGGGTGTGTCCTGAGCAGGTACACAGAGAGAGGAGGGCACAGAGAGTGACCCATTAAGAGACAAAATAAAAGAAAGGAGCTGGGAAGGCAGCTCAGTGGCTCCCAGGGGACACTTCCTCGTTACCTGCTCGGGTGGAGCCACGGTGAGCAGAGCTGGGAGCGGCTGGTTTCCTGTGGTGCTGGGTAACGTTTGAATGGTGTGCGCCCTGTAACAGACGTAAATCTGCGTGTTTCCTTTTATTCTTTTTTTTTTACTTGCTATGAGAGCTCTCACCACGTTTGACAGTGGAGTCAAACGGAGCTTGTGCCGAGGAGGACATGAGGTCCGAGAAGGAGGAGGGGAAGGCCGGTGAGTTACTGACAGACAGAGGTGAAAGGCTTCTTGTGTGAGCTGGATTTCAATGGGGAGAAGCGAGATTATATCTCAAGTGAATGACTGTCTACATTATGCAACAGGAATTTTTAACCTCCTTATGTTAATCGGGATTACTTAAGTCACAGTGTTCAGTCAATAAATTATCTTTAAGAGTCATACTGAGGGTATATGTATGTATGTATGTATGTATGTATGTATGTATGTATGTATGTAT